TTTTGTCTTTATTTCCTTTCTTGTCCTTTTTTGTTTGTTTGTTTGTTTACTTTTTTCCTAGTATTTTGGGTTGGGAATTTATTTTTATTCTATTTTTTATCTTCACCCAAGGTCATTTTTGCATTTATCTTCAGATAGAGCGGGAAGGAGAGAAGGAGGAAGAGAGAGAGAGAAACATCGATGTGAGAGAGACACATCGGCTGGTTGCCACCCGCACGACCTCAAACCGCAACCAAAGTAGGTGCCCTTAGTGGGAACCGAACCCGGGACTGTTTGGTCTGTAGGCTGATGCTCTAACCGCTGAGCCAGACTGGCCAGGGCTATTCTTTTATTCTTAGTTGATAAACTTATTTAAGGTTCTGAATTTTTCTTTGATCACTGCTTTAAATGTGTAGCATATATTCTAATATATAGTGTTTATTTTAGAAATTAGGTAATTTCAGTTTATATTTTTCCCTTTTACTTAAGAGTTGTTTAATAGGTGTTTAAAAAACATTTCCAGATAGAAAAGCCCCTTCCCCCCCTTTTTGTTGTTGTTGTTGTTTGGTTTAATTATATTACATTCAGCATGTGGTTTGTAATAGTTTTACTTGTGGAACTTAATGATGTTTTCTTTATGACCTAATATATGATCAAATTTTCGAGAATGTTCTATGTGTGTGCTTGAGAAGAAGGTGTATTCTCTATTAACAAGGTATAAAATTCTAAATGTATATTTACAAGATCCACCTCATTGATTGTGTTGTTAACTTCTTCTATATCTCTATTTATTTTGACCATATCTTATATCAAGAGTGATGTATCAAAATCTCTTGCTATTTTTGTGTTTCCATTTTTCTTTGCATTTCATGTTTATGCTTCAGTCTCTTTTGAGTCACATACCTCTATCCTTATAAAGGTGATTGTTATGTTTTTTGGTACATGAATATTCATAAATATTATATCTTTATTGTGAATTATGGCTTTTAGCATTAAAAAGTGTCCTTTGTCACACTCAATGCTTTTTGGCTTCAGTTCTGCTTTGTTTGATATCAGGAATGAAACTTCTGCCTTCTTATTTCTAAATTGCCTGGTTCATACTTGCTCATCTTCTTATTTTTAGCCTTTCTGAATTATTGTGTACTAGGTGTGTCTCTTGTATTCAACATAGAATTGGGCCTTGTCTCGTTAGCCAATATGAATTTTTTTTTTTTTTTATATTGGTGAAGTGACCTGTAGCATTTATTGATCCAGTTATGTTTGATGTCATCTTTGTCATATTATTTTATAGTACTATGTTTGTTATACTATAATTACAGTTTCTTTCTCTATGTTCTTTTATTTTTTATTAAAAATATTTTTTTTCCTTTATTGATTTTTTTTGAGAGAAAGAGAGGAGGTGAGAAGGAGAGACAGAGAGAAACATCAATGAGAGAGAACATCAGTTGGCCGCCTCCTTGCATGTCCCTCAACCAGGGATTGGGCCCACAACCCGGGCATGTGTCCCGACTGGGAATCAAACTGGCGATCCCTTGGTGCATGGGTTGATGCTCAACCACTGAGCCACACTGGCTAGACATATGATCTTTTATTTTTATTTATTTCTTTTAATCCTTACCTGAGGATATTTTTCTATTTTATCTTCAGATAGGGTGGGAGGGAGAGAGAGAGAGACATTGATGTGAGAGAGGCACATCAACTGGCTGCCTCCTGCATGACCCTGACTAGGACCAAGGACGAACTGCAACCAAGGTATGTGCACTTGACCAGAATTGAACCTGTGACTCATTGGTCCGTGGGCTGATGCTCTAAATGCTGAGCCAAACTGACCAGAGTTCTCTATGTTCTTTTAAAAAATTCTTTTAGGCCCTGGCCGGTTTGGCTCAGCGGTTAGAGCGTCAGCCTGCGGTCCACAGAGACCCGGGTTCGGTTCCCGCTAAGGGCATGTACCTTGGCTGCAGTTTGTCCCTGGCCCTGGTTGGGTTGTGTGGGTGGCGGCCACTTGATGTGTCCCTTTCACATCGATGTTTCTCTCTCTTCCTCTCTCTCCTTCCCACTCTGAGTAAAAAATGGAAAAATGTCCTCGGGTGCGGATAAAAAAAAAAAAAAAATTCTTTTAGTATTTAGGAAGTTTGTAATTTTGTACTAGTTCATTTCCTATGTGCATCTATCTTTTATATAGCCTTTAGTCCCCTATTTTCTTATTTTACCTTTCACTGTCAGGTACATTGGTTTTAAGTGGTATTTTTTTACTTCTATCCATTACCTATGAAACAAATGAGTTGTTCTACTTTCCCATTTTTTCCCTTCTTTTCTCTCCATCTTCTACCCTTTTAGCTTCATTTTTTCCCCTTTTTCACAGAGCATAAAACATTTATATATTATTCTCTCATATTTTTTTAAATTTTTGTATTAATCTTAGAGCCACAATTTAAATATATTAAATGCACATTTCAGTCCTTTTATGATATTTCCCTAGTTAACTATTGGTTGGTTCTCTCAGATAAAGCTTATTACAGAATTTTTGAATATAGTATTCCCTGAGTTCTTGAAAGCTTAAAAGTTTTTCTATAGCTTTGATATTTGGACAGCTTAGCTGGGTATAAAATCTTTGGTTCATATGTTTTTTCTCCTTAACTTTCTTGAATATACTACTCCACTCTTGGTTTGAATGTTGCCTTTGAGAAGTCTGATGCTGGGATAATTTTCTTGCACTTTTGTTTAGTGACTTGATATTCAAATATATATTCATATTTTAATTTTTTAGCATTTATATTTAATTTTCTTTTATTTATATTTAATTTTTATATCCTTTATCTTTACATTTTAAATATTGCTAAGTTATGTCTTGGGGTTTATCTTTCCAGGTCAATTTTTTCTTTCTCAAAACAGCCCTTTCATATATGGATTCAGTTTTTTTTTTTTTTTAAGTTTTGGTTTATAGTTTTAAATTAGTTCTATATCACTAGTTTTCTTTTTCAGGAAATATATATATTATATATATATGTATATGTATATATATATAAATAATATTTTCTATCTTTCATTTAAAGTACTTTCTCCCTAACCATTGTTATTCTTGATCTTATTTTTAATCTTTTTGTTGTTTTCCTGTGATTCTTCGATGTTTCTTATTAAACATATATTTAACAATTCTCCATTGAACACATTATAATTTAATCTTTATTTCTGAGGTAGTTTTTCTTTTTCTTGGATTTATTTCCTGAGTTCCATCAATTCTTATTTTATTTCTTCCTGGGTTTTATTCATTTTAGGTGTTAGTTTTGGATTTTCTGATTCAAGATTGATAGAGAGCTCCAAATGTATTTCATTTTATTGAAATATATTTTATTTCATTTAAATAAAGTGTGTTATAGTTTTTGTTTGCTTGTTTTGTTGTTGTTTTTCTTTGGTAGGGGTTAATTTTCATTTGCTAAAATCTTTCAATTAAAATTTTTCTATTTCTATTCGATCAATTTTGGTAAATTCGATTTTCTTAGCAACTTATCCATTTTATTTAGATTTATCAATATATTGCCATTGTTTTGTTCTATTGCCTTTAGATGGGTATACTCAACTGCAAAGTCCGTTTTTAGTCAGATAGGGTAACACAGATTCCAGGGACTAGGTTGTGGGTAATTTTGGGGGATTCTTAAACCTACCTTAAATAGCATTATATATATTTTTTGTTATTATTTTGCATAACCTGACTCTTAAAAGTATAAACATTAGAGACAGAATGTGAGTTCATACTGGTTTGGATTTTCCCAATTTGCAAAGAAATCTCAATCCAACTTTTTCTTAGAATTTGTCCTCAGTTTAGACTTAGAGCTAGCAGCATCTTACAGAGGAATCTTTCTGATGCTTTGATAACTGACCCTCTGTTAATAGACTATACTACAGACCTTTTACTTAATATACTTTATAGCAACTAATGTTCAATGTGCTGCCTGTAGGTTGCTTGAAAGCATTCCATTAGGTTGAAGTTTGTGGAGCACTAAAGGAGACTTTGCTTTTCCTCGTTTGTTTGTTGATAAAGGTTTTATTTATTTATAGTTCATGTACCATACAGTCCACCCATTTAAAGTGTAATATTTGATGATTTTTAATATATTCACAGATTTGTGCAATCTACATTCAATTTTAAAACATTTGCATTACCTCTAAGAGAAACCTCCAACTCTTTAACAGTCAAACCCCCATTTTCTCCCAAACTCTTGAGCCCTATCTATTTATTAGTTTAGTCTATTTTCTATCTCTATAGATTTGCCAATTCTAGACATTTCATATATATTGAGTTATGCAATATGTGGTCTTTTGTGTCTGGTGTCTTTTACTTAGTAGGTTTTCAAGATTCATCCATGTTGTAGAGATATCAGTGTTTCATTCATTTTTATGGCTCCATGATATTCCACTGTGTGGATATATCATATTCATAAGCTGATGGACATTTGGGTTGTTTCTGCTTTTTTGGCCTAGTAGCTCTTTTCAGTGTCGTCCAATTGAGAAATAGTTTTATGAATGATGAAGATGATTACAGAAAAAAGCCTAGCTCTCTACTTTTCTACACTACAGTTCTTCTTCCCACTCCCTCTCCCAGCTCCCTGACACCCAGGGCAGTCTGCTCCAGTCACTTTGCTTCAGTGATGAGCAGAGACAGTGCTCTGAGAAAAGGCTTTTAGTAGAAGAGAGAAACCAAAAGGGACCAAGCCATGTACTTTCTCTAGAGAAAGAGAGAGGAGGAAGGGACCCATACCACAAAACTTCAGGAAGGGCAAATGGCCTTGCTTTAGGGGCCAATATAGCCTGGAAACTGGGAGGGAGATGCAATGATTTCTTCTAACATTAAGAAAACTGGCATTTTAGCTCTCTGGCTTCTAAGTTAAAGCAAAACATGTTTTTTTTCTCTCCTTTGATTTTGAATTATGAACAGTTCCTTTAAATCAAACATGTAAGCAATTGAATAGTGTAATGATAGCCCTTATTAATTATAATGTAGCTTGTTGTCCCATAATTTATAGGTTTCTTCACCAATTAAAGGAAGATAATTCTGAGTTAATTAATAAACTGTGGACTGATATTCAGCAGAAAATAGCAACACAGTCACAAATAACAAGCCCTCCAGAAACTCCATCATCTGCCTCTCCATCAGAGGAAAAAAAAGGTTTGTTTTTCCATTGTATTATTTCTCACAGAGTAATAGCTTGCTTTATGATGTTCTTGCTTGAACACAGTAATTTTTAAAGGAATGTTATTTGAGTTTTCACTGTCTTGGCCTAATTGAATAAAATAGTGATTGATTTGTCCATTGACATGATTTAAGCTTTTTTTTTTCACCTGAGAGACCTTCGGAAATATTCTTTATTTTAGCTGCTCTGAATGCTACCAACGCTGTCAAGAGAATCCATACCAGGCTTCATCCTGAAGAATCTGCTGAGTCTCTAGACTCGAGCTATGTTGTGGGACAAGTGCTGAACTCAAGGAAGCAAAAGCAGCTGTTGACTAAAGGTTCAGTCCCTTAATTTACAAAGATGAATTAAACATGTTACTTGATACAGCTCTCTTAATGTCTTTAGTAAATGTTTTTTCCTTTAAACTCATTCGGTTGGATTTAGAATTTGTTGAGTGGTAGCTAAGAAATGTCTCCTTTTACCCATGTAACTCTGTAGAAAAATGATTCTAGTACATTCCTTACAGATAGTGTAAACCTGGTTTCAACTGAATAGATTTTTGTGAGAAAATGGTGATAATTTCTATAAAAACCTTTTATAAATTGTGAACAATGGCCAAAGGTTTTGCTAGTAGTTTTCTAGTGTTATTTTCCTGATCTTAAAATAGAATGATTTCTGTCATTATCAGTGAAAAGAAAACCGGAGTTGCGGGCTTCTTCTAAGCAGAAGAAAAACATGTTATCCTCCAGCACAGCCTCCACAGACTTATCAGGTAGCAACAATCCCAGCCTGGATGTCCTCAAACACATGATGCATGAAGTGGAACACGAAATGGAAGAGTATGAACGGTCGACAGGACGCGAGGTCAAGGAACCGCATAGCAGTCAGGGTCTTACAGGCTTCACCCTGTCGCTGGTGAGCTCTCTCTGTCGCCTGGTTCGGTACCTTAAAGAGGTAAGAGCATGAGGTTACTAGAGTCTTCTCATCAGAGTGCTGGTGGGACAGTGTGGGTTTTTCCTTCTATGCTTAATTGGTTGCATCTTCTAAATAAAGTATAGTGGAGTTTGGATAGCTTTGTTTAAAATACCTCAGTTTTAGATTATCTACAGTGAAGGTTTATCCTCTTGATTTCCCACTTCATGCTGATTCATGTATCATCTAGCATGCTGATACGTGGTCAGGTAAATGCTGTTGATTTTACTATGAGCCTTAGTGGACTCGAATTAGGAAAGTAAATCCACTATAAATAAAGTGTCTTGTGCTAATATTGAGCTTTACTGTTTGGCAGTTATAGAGTAAATAGAACTACGAAATGTATCTTCATTCTACTGCTTTCCTTTGCTTCCTACTCCCACTAATTTAGTTCAGTCTGGAAAGTAGCATGCCTGTTATCTGTGGACAAAGACTGGGAAAATTCCTCAGGTTATCTGCATGACTGGCAACTTGGGCTTGGCTTCAGCATCTTAGTGGTAGATATTTTATTGTTGTGAAATAACTGATAAGACAAGCAAGCAAGAATTGTTTCTTTAATTCATTTGTGAATAATAATCAGTCCTCAGAATGCAATGGAATTAGAGTTGGCTGTGTAGTCCATCTTTTAAAAACACCTATTTAAACTGTTTTTATGTATTTAAATTTGCCAAACATAAAATATAAAAATATTTGAGGACATTTATTAAAGTTGATTTGCCTCTCTTATTCAGAGATTTCAATTTCTTTGGAACTGTCTTCATAAAATTGCCTTTTTAGTGAAAGATACATTGTAGTGTCAGATTTATGAAAGTCTTAACATTCTTCCACCCTCAAGTCAAGAATTTCTAGGAGTGTACTTTTGGTTCTGAAAGTATTACAGGCTTAGAAGCATATACTTTTTAGCTAATCACTTGCTTTACAAAGCTCAACCATTTAAACCTGTTGTCATTTATTTTAAATTATATTTTAACAGACTTAATTTTCAAATCGGTGATATAGTCACATGCTATGAAATTCAAAGACACAGAAGGGTATATGATGAAAAATCTAATTCCCACCCCTAACTTCCATCTAACCTGTTTGCTTCCTTGAAGCCAACTGTCATTACCAGACACCAGTGTATTCTTTTAGAGATGGTGTACATATATTCAAGCAATAGGTATATATGCTTTCCTCTACACAACTGTAGTTATTTCTATAAACCATTCTGTTTATCGTGTTCTATTTAAAGAAGGGAAGAGGATAAAACAGCACATTTTAATTAAATATAAACCTTTTAATAAAAATATTTTACTCTCATTACTGTCACATAATATATACTTTGTAAGTATTCTCTTCTTTGACAACTTTGAGTAGAAACTTATAGTTTTCAACATGTGATACTATTGATGGGAGTTTATTTGATTTTTTTTTTTTTTTGGTAGAGTGAGCTTCAGCTACGTAAAGAGGTAGAGACAAGGCAGAAATTGGAACAGGTATTAGTTGATCATCGAGAGCTCATTGATGCCCTGACAGCTGAAATTCTACTTCTTAGAGAAGAAAATACTGCTACTCAGGTACTCAGATGAGATCCCAAACTTTTCTGTGTTTAGTAGTATAAAACATTTTTAAGACTGTATGAGATTGCTCCTAGTTGCCTTTGGTTTAGTTGTGCCAATGTGATTACTTATACTTCTTTATTATCATTAATGGTAGTTTTTATTGAACATTTATTGTATTGGAGGTACTATCATAGAAACTTGAACTAAAAGTAGTATATAGAATAAGTCTACTGTCTTAAAAAAACTTATTAAATATTGAGGAAGACAGAACCTACATTTAAATGATAATTACCAATATTATAGTAGTTTATTCAAAATATATATAGCTTTTTTATCCTTACCTGAGGAATTTTTTTTTCCATTTTTGTTCAGAGAGAGTGGGAAGGAGAGAGAGGATGACAGAGAAAGAGAGAGAGAGAGAGAGAAACATCGATGTGAATGGGATACATCGAGTGGCTGCCTCCCACACGACCCCAGCCAGGGCTGGGGATGAATTGCAACCGAGGTATGTGCCCTTTGCAAGAATCAAACCCGTGACTTGTTGGTCCATGGGCCGATGCTCTAACTGCTGAGCCAAACTGGCCAGGGCAGTTTATTCAAAATATTTAATAGTGTTATGAGAGCTACTTTTAATTTTAAAACAGTAGAGGATACCATTTGAGGAACCCTCATGCAATCATATGTCATTTAAGTTGTTTATAGCAACTTCATATTTATTAGATGGCTCCTCTTTGCCACTAGTCTGGTTAATCACTTCATTTTTAAAAGACTTACATAGAGAGTTGAGATATACTCCCAGCAACAGAGGCTGGGGAGCAGATCCATCCCCAGGCAACAGAAGCACAGACCAGCAGCTGAGACCCATCCCCAAAACTATAGCAAAAGCTGAGCAGGAGTTGAACCCCACAGGGCAGCAGCACTCCCCAGCCACCAGCTGTGGGACCTGGGGCTCCACAGAGGCCTGTGCGGTCCAGCAGCTCACAAGAGTAGTGGGAAGCCGGAGCCTGAGAGGGACTGGTGCGATCCAGCTGCCCGCTTGCCGGATCTGCAGGGTGTGGGGGCACCAGGGAGGCCACTGCAACCCAGTAGCCCACAAGAGCAGTGGGAAGCTGGAGCCCGAGAGGGATTGGTGCGATCCAGCTGCCTGCCCAAGGGGCCTGCAGGGTGCGGGGGCACCAGAGAGGCCTGTGCGACCCAACAGGGACTGTGTGATGCAGTTACCCACAGGACCTACAGGGTGCTGAGGCACCAGAGAGGCCTGTGCGACTCAGCGGGGACTGTGTAATATAGTTACCTGTGGGACCTGCAGGGTGTTGAAACACCAGAGAGGCCTGTGTGACCCAGCAAGGACTGTGTGATCCAGCAGCCAATAAGATAGGCATAGAGCTGGGTCCCTGAAGTGACTGTGCCATCCACTTACCTGTGGGACCTGCAGGGTGCAGGGGCATCAGAGAGGCCTGTGTGACCCAGCTGCATACAAGATAGGTGTAGAGGATGTGCAAATGGAGGCAGAGTGAATGAAAGCTACCCAGACTATCTCCCAGGATGAAAATGGGAATTACAACTAAATGAAGACAAATCCTTGGAAAAAAGCAACAGAGAAGCAGCAGGACAGGACCATATAACCAGGAACACTGGTAGGATCTGCAGAGGCGTGAGAGAGTGGCAGGCTGGGAGCCCACAGACAGCAGTAGTGTTTGCTGTGAGCAGCGCCATTGGGGAATAGACCAAGCCACTCCACAGCACAGAGAGCCAGGACAGAGCGATAAAATAGACACAGCCACTCACCTGGGGTTATGGCAGAGGAAGGGCAGATTGGGCTGTAACTCTGTGAGGACAACCAGGATTTGGAGGGCACTCAGAGGTTTTGCTGAGTTGTGGCCAGTGTGCTCCCTCCCAGAGCTGTGGGGAAAAGCAGCAGACCCCCCACCCCAGGAGATTCAGCCTATCCCAGGTGAGGCAAAGAAATGAAAATTGAGGCTGAATAGCAACCAGCATCTACCCCACCCTCTGGAAATCGTCTTATGCAGAACACCAGGGCTACATTCCAAGGCACTGAGTAACTGAGACTACTAGCCTCCAGGAAAAAGCTAGAGGATAACTGAACCTTTCCTGGGCTTGCAAATCTACCCAAGAAAGTAAGACTTGAAAGTGGAGTTTAATGTGGGCCCACCTAGGCTCATCCAAACTCGGTAGACAGGGTAGAGAAAATCAACCAATCAGAAAACCAAAAGGAAAAACAATGAAAAAACAGGAAGACAGCTTAAGAGAACTGTGGAACAACTGGAAATGTCATAACATTCGCATCATAGGAGTCCCCAAAGAGGAAGAAAATGGGCAAGGGTTAGAGAATATATTTGAAGAAATAGTGACAGAAAACTTTCCTAACTTGGTGAAGGAAGAAGGCATTCAAGTTCAAGAAGCACAGAGAGCCCCAAGTAAGAAGAACCCAAACAGGCCTACACCAAGAGACATAGTAATTAAAATGCCAAATATTAAAGACGAAGAGAGAATCCTAAAGGCAGCAAAAGATAAGCAACAGGTTACCTACAAAGGAAACCCCACAAGGCTCTCAGCTGACTTCTCAACAGAAACACTACAGGCCAGAAAGGAATGGCGTGAGGTAATCAAGGTCATGAAAAACAAGGATCTGAATCCAAGACTACTCTATCCAACAAGACTGTCATTCAAAATAGAAGGTCAAATAAAGAGCTTCCCAGACCAAAAAAGGCTAAGGGAATACATTAGCACCAAACCAGCACTGCAAGATATGCTAAAAGGACTGTTGTAATTAATAGAAGAAATAAGAAAAATAGAACCACACTAAACAAAAATGGCAATAAATAAGTACATATCAATTATCACCTTAAATGTGAATGGTTTGAATGCTCCGATGAAAAGACACTTAGTAGCTGAATGGATAAGAAAGCATGGCTCACATGTTGTTTATAAGAGACCCACCTCACAACAAAAGACTCACATAGGTTGAAAGTGAAGGGATGGGAAAAAATCTTTCAAGAAAATGGAAAGGAAAAAAAAGCTGGGGTAGCAGTACTCATATTGATAAAGTAGATTTCCAAGGGAAGACCATAACTAGAGACAAAGAAGGTCACTACAAAATATTGAAAGGATCTATCCAACAGGAAGATATAACCTTGGTAAACATATATGCACCCAATATAGGAGCACCAACATATATTAAAAATCTTTTGGAGGACTTCAAAAGAGAAATCAACAGCAATACAATCATATTAGGGCACTTCAACACCCTGCTGACATCACTGAATAGATCATCTAGACAAAAAATTAACAAGAAAACACAGACTCTAAATGAAGTGCTAGATCAAATGGATTTAATAGATATCTACAGAGAATTACACCCTAAAACTGCAGAATTCACATTCTTCTTAAGTGCACATGGGACATTCTGAAAGTTGGACCACATGTTAGGGCACAAACTAAATCTCTACAAATTCAAGAAGATTGAAATCATATCAAGCATATTCTCAGACCACAATGGCATGAAACTAGAAATCAATTGCTATAAGAACATGCAAAGACATTTGAACACATGGATGCTAAATAGCATGTTATTGAACAATGAATGGATTACCATGGAGGTCAAGGAAGAAATAAAAAACTTCCTGGAAACCAATGAAAATGAAGACACAACAGCACAACATCTATGGGATGCAGCAAAAGCAGTTCTGAGAGGGAAGTTCATACCACTACTATAGCTACCTCAAGAAGCAAGAAAAATTTCTAACTGACTATCTAGCCTCACAGGTTAAAGAACTAGAAAGCAAACAAAAAGAAAACCCAAGAGCAAGTAGAAGTAAGGAAATAGTAAAGATCAGAGCAGAAATAAATGACATGGAGACCAAAAAAACAATTCAAAGGATCAATGAGACAAAGAGCTAGTTCTTTGAAAAGATAAACAAGAATGATGGACCCTTAGCTAGATTCACCAAGAAACAAAGAGAGAGAATTCAAATACACAAAATCAGAAATGAAAGAGGAGAAATAATAACTGACACCACAGAAATACAAAGGATTGTTAACAAATATTATGAACAATTATACGGCAACAAATTCAATAATCTAAGTGAAATGGACAAATTCCTAGAAACACATAGTCTTCAAAAACTGAACCAGGAAGAGATAGAAAACTTGAACAGATCAATAACAAAAAAAGTTATTGAAGATGTAATAGACTCTCCCAGCAAACAAAAGCTCAAGCCCGACGCCTTCATGGGGGAATTTTGCCGAACATTCAAAGAAGAACTAACACCCATTCTTCTCAAACTATTTCAAAAAATTCAAAAAGAAGGAAGACTTCCAAACTCGTTTTATGAAGTCAGCATAATTCTAATTCCAAAACCAGAAAAAGACACTACAAAGAAAGAAAACTACAGATCAGTATCCCTGATGAACATAGATGCCAGATTCCTGAACAATATACTAGTAAATCGAATCCAGCAATACATCAAAAAAATTATTCATCATGACCAAGTGGGATTCATCCCAGGGATGCTAGGCTGGTACGATATTCACAAATCAATAAATGTGATACACCACATAAACAAAATGGAAGATAAAAATTATATGATCATATCAATAGACACTAAAATAGCATTCGACAAAATCCAGCATCCATTTCTGATAAAAACGCTCAGCAATGTGGGAATAGAGGAATCATATCTTGACATAATAAAGGCCATATATGAAAGACCTACAGCCAACATCATACTCAATGGGCAAAAACTAAAAGCATTTTCCTTAAGAACAGGAACAAGACAAGGTTGCCCACTTTTTGCCAATCTTATTTAACATAGTACTGGAAGTCTTAGCCACAGCAATCAGACAGGAAGAAAAAATAAACGTTATCCAAATTTGAAAGGAGGAAGTGAAACTGTCATTCGCAGATGACATAATATTATACGTAGAAAACTCCAAAGACTCAAACAGAAATCTACTAGACTTAATAAATGAATTTGGCAAAGTAGCAGGACACAAAATTAACATCAAGAAATCGATAGCATTCTTATACACCAATGATGAACTCACAGAAAGAGAAACTAATAAAAACAATCCCATTGACCATCGCAGCAAAAAAATTAAGATATGTAGGAATAAACTTAACCAAAGAAATAAAGGACCTATTCGTAGAAAACTACAGGTCATTGAAAAAAGAAATAGAGGAAGATATCAAAAAGTGGAAGCACATATCCTGTTCATGGATTGGAAGAATTAACATCATTAAAATGTCCATACTACCCAAAGCAATCTATAGATTCACTGCAATCCCCATAAAATACCAACGGCATACTTCACAGAATTAGAACAAATACTTCAGAAGTTCATATGGAACCAAAAAAGACCTCGAATAGCCACAGCAATCTTGAAAAAGAAGAACAAAGTTGGAGGGATCACCTTATCAGATTTCAGGTTATACTACAAAGCCACTCTAACCAAAACAGCCTGGTACTCGCACACGAACAGGCAGATAGATCAATGGAAGAGAATAGAGAACCCAGAAATGGACCCAAGACAATATGCTCAATTAATATTTGACAAAGGGGGCAAGAGCATACAATGGAGTAAAGCCAGCCTCTTTAATAAATGGTGTTGGGAAAATTGGACAGCTACATGCAAAAAATGAAACTAGACCATCAACTTACACCCTACACAAGAATAAACTCAAAATGGATAAAAGATTTAAATGTGACTCATGAACCCATAAAAATCCTAGAAGAAATTGTAGGCAACAAAATTTCATACATCATATGCAGCAGAATTTTCACTGATACATCACCTAAGGCAACAGAAACAGGAGAAAATGAACACTTGGGACTACATCAAACTGAAAAGCTTCTTCACAGCAAAAGAAACAATCACCAAAATGGAAAGGCAACCCACTGTATGGGAGAAGATCATTTCCAATGATACATCAGATAAGTTGTTAATTTCCAATATATATAGAGTGTCATACAGCTCAACAAAAGAAAGACAAAGTACCCAATTAAAAAATGGGCAGAGGAACTAAATAGATACCTCTCCAAACAGGACATACAAATGGCTAAGAAACGTATGAAGAAATGTTCAACATCACTATTCATCAGAGAGATGCAAATTAAAACAACAATGAGGTATCACCTCACACCTGTCAGAATGCCCACCATCAACAAATCAAACAACAAGTGTTAGCGAGGTTGTGGAGAAAAGGGGACTCTAGTGCGCTGCTGGTGGGAATGCAGACTGGTGCAGCCACTATGGAAAACAATATGGTGTTACCTCAAAAAATTAAAAATTGAACTTTCATTTGACCCAGCGATCCCACTTCTAGGAATATACCCTAAGAAGCCTGAAATACCAATCAGAAAGAATATATGTACCCTCATGTTTGTAGCAGCACTATTTACAATAGCTATGATCTGGAAACAGCCCAAATGTCCATCAGTAGATGACTGGATAAAAAAGCAGTGGCACATATACACAATGGAGTACTATGCAGCTGTAGGAAAGAAAGATCTCTTATCCTTTGAGATTACATGTAGGGACCTGGAGAGTATTATTCTAAGCAAAACAAGCCAAGGAAAGAAAGACAAATATCATATGTTCTCACTTATTTGTGGAATATAATGAACATAACAGTCTGAGGAATGGGGTAGTCCCAGAGACGTGAAAGTTGGGTACAGACTGACAATCCCCAGAAGAGGGGGTGGGAGGGGAGATATAAACCACAGAACTTATATGCATGTATGCATGAACAATGGACATGGACAACAAAGTGGGGACAGGGCGATGAGGGGTGCACGGGGGTATCAGTTGGGGAAAAAGGAGAAACATGTAACAAAAATAAATAAATTAATTAATTAAAAAAAATGACTTACATAGTATTTGTTCAAAACCTTCTTGATGCTCTCTGGATATTGCTGTAGTTGCATTTACCAAATTGTGTTACACATACATGTGCACTTACCTAACTGTGAGCTGTTTGAGGACAGACATTTTTCTTCATCTGTTTGTTCTCAAATGGCGGTTACTACAACTTTGTTTATCAGCCAAAGGACATTAGGAAAGCAATAATTGGTAGACAAGTTGTGTTTGTGTAAATGGACAGTAGATATAAATCATGTATTATTTTTTATTGATCTATAATTCACACACCATTTAATCCAGCCTTTCAAAGTGTACAATTTGGTGGGTTTTAGTATATTTACAAAGTTGTGTACCAGCACAATTATCTAATTCCAGAACATTTTTATCACCCTAGTGAGAAACCCCAGTAGCAGTCACCCCCAGTAGCAGTCACCCTCTGTTCTGTCCTCCGCCTAGTCCCTGGAAACCACAGATCTATTTTATGTTTGTATAGATTTGCCTAAATGGGGTATTTCATATAAATAGAATCATGCAATATGTAGCCTTTGTTTCTGACTTATTTCACTTAGCATAATGTTTTCAAGGTTGAAGCATGTATCAGTATTTCATTTCTTTTTATCACCTAATAGTATTCTTTTAAAAAAATTTCTCACTGGAGGATATGTTTTAATTCATTTCAGAGAGAGAGGAAGGAAGAGAGAGAGAAACATCAGTATGAGAGAAAATTGATTGGTTGCATCTCTTATGTGCCCTGACCAGAGATTGAACCCACATATGTGGGTATGTGCCCTGACTGGGAATCAAACCTGTGACCTTCACATGTGTGAGATGACACTCCAACCAACAGCCAAACCGACCAGTACCAATAATATTCTATTCTGTGGTGGTACCGTATTTTGCTTATCCATCCTTCAGTTGATGGACATTTGAATTGTTTCCACTTTTTGTGTATTATGAATAATTTTGCTATGAACATTCATGTACAAGTATTCTAGTGAATGTATGTTTTCAACTCTTCTGGGAAGATGAGCAGTTTTAAAATGTCATTTGTTCAACACACTTTTATTGAACACCTGCTATGGGCCTGGCACTGTTCTAGGTACGAGAAATACAGTAGTGAACAAAAAAGAAATTTTTGCCCTCATGGAACTTATGTCCTAAATAAATCTTAAAAAAGAAGCAAAAGTGAAGTATATTGTAAGTTAAATGGTGATGGTGATACGTACTATACAGATAAATAAAGCAGGTAGGAGGCATAGGGAGTGCCTCAGATGGGAAGTTGTAAATGGGATGGACCATGCCTGCCTAAGGAGGTGACATTTGAGCAAAAGCCTGAAGGAGGTGAGGGAGCGAGCATGCTGATAGCTGAGAGATGAGCTGACGAGCAGAGTAACAGCAGCTGCAAAGGTCTTGAGGTAGGAGTGTGGCCGAAGCTCAGAAACATCAAGGAGACCAGTGTGGCAGGAGTAGAATGTGGGAAAGAGAGAGTAGTAGGAGAGAAGAGCAGAGAAGCCTGGTCATGTGGGGCTTTGAGGCTGGGTAAGGACTTGAGCTGTTAGGCTGAGTGAGATGGGAGACCACTCAATTCAGGTGAGACATGGCAGTGTGGTCTACATTGGAAGTAGAAGAGGTTGTGAACAGTGACCAAATTCTGAATATATTTTGAAGGCAACCAGTAGGATTTGCTGATGGCTTGGATATGGGAGAAGATTTCAGGGTGATTCCAAAGGTTTGGACTGGGCAATCAGAAGGTGGAGTTGTTATTGATGAGGCAGGTATGTTCAGGAGGAGTTTGGTTTTGTACATTTTAAGTTTGAGAAGCCTGTGTCAGTTCTAAATGGAGATGTTGAGCAGGCCATTGGATAAATAAGTGTGGAATTTGGGAAAAATTTAGACTGTCATGAAAATGTTTAGTATACTTCATTCAGTTGAACTACTAATAATATTTCTGATCACATTTGATTTTTATCAAGTACCTGTACATCTTGGAGAGATGTGTGTGTGTATGTGTATTCTCTTAACATTATTTTATATACATGACTATAATTTTTATCACTTTAAATGCCTGTGTAGTATTTTATTGAGTTTCCCCCATCTGATATAACTGTCTCTTGGGGTAGCTTGAGAGTCAGTCAATATCATCTGTATAAAAGGTTCTGTAAGTTGAAAGCCCTATAAAAAGGTTAATTCTTACTGTTGTAGCAGTGTATTTATTAATAATATTCCATGATTTATTTAACAATTCTTCTATCATGGGATTTGAACAATATTTATAATTATGTATTATTCTTATGAATGTATTGTTAGTAGTTGAATGAAAGAAATTCCTAGAGTATTTAAAATAATGATACAGGAATACAGATCTAGGTGATAATTTGATGTCTGATATGCTAATGATGTTATTTCATTCTTTTTTTCTCTAGGCGAGACTTCAGCAGTATATGGTCACAACAGATGAGCAACTTATATCACTCACACATGCCATTAAGAGCTGTCCTGTGATAAATAACAACAAAGAAAGTCTGACAACAGAAAAGAGAGCCAATAGTAGAATTATGGACAATCCAGGCGAGTGGGTCTTATTATCCCAGATTGGCATTAAAATACTTGAGCAAACAAAACTGAACTTACGTGGGGTTATTGACTGTTTATGCATATACAGCATTGTCACTACTATAATTGCTGCTAATTATTATTGGATACTTGCTGTGTGCCAGATACTTTTAAAGTGTTTGACATATATTATCTCATTTAATCCTCATAATAGTCTTATGAGGTAGAAGTTATTGTTTTCCTCATTTTTTAGATGAGAAAACTAAGGCTTAGTGAGTGTTGGTAGCTGTTGGTAGCAAAGTCACACAAACAGCAAGTAGCAGAACTAGCTAACTAGATCAGTGGTAAGTACTTAATGCCATTGCTTTTAATCGTGGTGCCCCAGGCTTAGGCAGAGAAGAAATGGTCTTGGAAAGAAAAACAACAACAACAACACATTGAACTTTAGAAATTCATAATTTTGTTTATTTTGGGTAATGTTTTGAAAGCTCTTTTTCACTCATGTGCCATAGGTTGAATAGAACATTTAGGCCTTTTCATGTTTTTTACTTCTAAGTAATACTTTCATGAGTGTCTCTGTGTGGAAAGTGTTTTATGCATTTAGGAGTGTTTCCTAGGGAGGGATCTGACTAAAACTTAGCTTGCATGAGATAAACTCCATGACTAGGACAAGTCTTAAGGGCTAGAGGCCCTCAGCACTTTTCTCAAAATCAGCCTCTTCTTCCCAGCACTGGCCCCACAGGAACCTTGCCTGTGAGTTCCTGCTACAGGAGGATGTGGCCTGAAAACCGAGGACTTTAGAGGCCACCTGTTTTGCCCTCTGTGGAGATGCATTTAAGTATATTTCTGAGATGTGCGCATAATTCCTTTAAGTACTAATAGCCTCTCATCTTCTTCAGAGGGTTCAGTTGTAAATGCTAATGTCTCCACGCCATTGATGTTCAGAGGGGAAGAAGTACTTGAATTCCCGCAGGAAGACTTGCCTATCAAACTATCGCAGATGCCAAACCCCCCAGACAGTGTGAATCTGGCCAGTAATTTTCCAGCACAGATGTTTGAGCCAGCTCTGTTGTTAACACCACCCAGGCAGAAGAGCAACTCAGAATTCTCTCCTCTGCAGGATGGTAAGCAGGCTTCTTCTAACGTTATATGGTCGTTGTTTTCTATGCTGCATATATGTAATCTATTGTGTTCATTGTTACCTCATAAATAGAATTAAAAGACATTGATTACTGTACATAACCTTTAAGCTGAGGGAAGATCGGGTGGTTTACATCATGTATGTTATATCTATGGTGAAATGTGACATTGAATTTTAATATATATCCATTCCACTAGAAATGATACATATTAAGCTCAAATCAAGGGATCAAAGCCCTCAGCATTAAAACGTGGAGTAAGGGGAATCCTGTTTGTCCCTGTGGTCCGGGAGCACAGGTAGGAGGAGTAAGAAACAAAAGGAGACTGTTCTCTAAAGAGTAATGAAAGTTTAACCAAGGAAAGGTGAGAACTGTGAGCTTAAGGATTTTGTAAGTCAGCTCTGTGTTAACCTCTTTCTCATCAAAACTTTTTAGCTCAGTCAGATGAGGGAAATTTATAATGAAAGTCTGTGGACAATTAAAAATTGCTTTAGAGTCACTTTTGGAGCACATATATAGAGCTTGAAATAAAATTTCTAAAAAGTATTGTTAATACTCAGCTCATAGATTTTTAAAAATCACAAATAGGATTATTTTATTTGTCCCCATTAAAGTCCGAATTTTAAACAGATTCTTGGACTGGGTGCTCATATGCATTTGTTCACTTTAGAACCTGTCTCATCCCCAGTACCTTCTCTGTAAAGGTCCATGAGTTGTCCCAGTTCAAACTTTGACTTCTTCAGCATTATTACTTTTTTAACAAAGACATCATGGAGTGGATAAATAGATTGGCAAGCTTTTTTAAAAAATGTCTCTTCCAATGCTATCTGGAATCAGTTTATTGACTATTTCTTCCATGTCATTTGTCTGTACCTCTTGGGTCATGATTTCCATCATCTTCTTCCAGATTTCTGCAAGAAATGGCCCCTGCATATCTCTCCAATCTCATATTTTTCCAGTTTTCCCTTGTTGTTATGCTATTAGCTAGATTGGCCTCCTTTCTTTGCAGAGTTGTTGATGCTGAGCACAGGAAGTCGTCTGAAACTGATTTTTGTATTTTTTTTTGGTAAAACAAATACAGAATAGACTGAGCAAATAGCCATTGGTAGTCTTGATATCAACTTGAGCTTCAGTCATGGTCAGCCATTTTTGACCATGGAGCACATTTTGTCATGGGTAAGATCCATGCCATGGAAATGAATCAGGTAGTTTTTGCCCTGAGCAGCCTCGTTATTAGCTTGGATTTTCAAAATGTAACTTCATCATTCTGCAAAACAGCTAGGCTCACTTCAAAAACACAACCCTTGAGACCATCAGATGCGGTTTTGGCTCCTTGCGTTCTTGTGACTAGTGTGTTTTCGGTATTTCTTATATTGAACATAGCTGCTGCTTTCACATCACACATGTCTTTCCAGGATCAACTACCTTCTTCCTGGCTCCCTTCTGACCACCTTTCCGAAGGTGCTTGTTCTTGCCATCCACAGGTACTGCTCATAGAGCCAAAAGGGCCCTTAGCTCAAAGACTCTTAACTAGGAGTTTATGAATGGTCTTCAGAATCTTCATGGACTGCTTTATTGTTTGGAAAATTATATTTATTTATCCACATGTGCATTTTCTTTTTTTTTTTTTTTTTATCATCCTCACCCGAGGACATTTTTCCATTTTTTGTTCAGATAGAGTGGGAGGGAGAGAGAGGAACAGAGAGAGAGAAACATCGATGCGAAAGGGACACATCGAGTGGTCGCCACCCGCACAACCAACCAGGGCAGGGGAGAAACTGCAACCGAGGTACGTGCCCTTAGCGGGAACCGAACCCGGGTCTTTCCGGACCGCAGGCCGATGCTCTAACCGCTGAGCCAAACCGGCCAGGGCCACATGTGCATTTTCTATAGCTATAGCTTTCATTTCATTTTCAAAAGAGTTCTTGAGTAAAAAAGCTACTCTAGCCTGGCTGGTGTAGCTCAGTGGTTAAGCATCGACCCATGCACCAAGAGGTTGCCGATTTGATTCCCAGTCAGGGCACATGCCCAGGTTGTGGGCCAAATCCCCAGTGGGGGGCATGTGGGAGGTGGCCAGTCTATGTTCTCTCTCACATCGATGTTTCTCTCTCTCTCTCTGATTAAAAAAACAAAACAAAACAAAAACCTCTGCAAGAAATGGCCCCTGCATATCTCTCCAATCTCATATTTTTCCAGTTTTCCCTTGTTGTTATGCTATTAGCTAGATTGGCCTCCTTTCTTTGCTCTTCCCTATTCTGAGGCCTTCACATGTATTTTTCTCTGCCTGTAGTGTTCATTGCTCTACTTTCTACCACATATGTAATTATTTAAATTTTTTACTTCCTCAGAGATGCATTTCCTGACCATCCTCAGTTTACATTATTATCTATACTGTCTTTACCTCCAAGATTCCCAGGTATGAGTTAATATATATGTTAAAATGTGAACTTGGCAGATGGTTTTTACAAGCATATGCTTTAGGGTATAGTAAAGTCTTTGTAATTGATTGTTAGAGGTGGCATTGCAGGAATATTTCCTTCTCATGATTTAGACCTTCAGAAGCCAAATCTTCCTTTTGAAATACTTCTCTTTACCACAATGGGCTGAGATGATTAAAGTGCCAATCTATGGCCAAATAATACATGTTTGTTATTTTTAAATTTTATTTACAGTATTGAGGAGGACTGTTGAAACTCGTCCTGCTCCACGGATTCCTCCAACGGTGGAAAGAATTGAAAAGGAACAAAATTGGGAAAAGCAGACTTTACTGACTAGCACAGACATGCAGAATTCAAGCGAGGAGAGTCATCTCTTCACTCAGAGGTGGAGGGTCTCTCACATGGGAGAAGATTTGGAGGACAAAACCCAGGCTCCTTTTGTTAACCTCTCACAGCCCCTGTGCAGTCCCCTCTCAAACACGCAGCAACCGAGAAACCCCACCTTCTCAGAAGAGCCCCCGGTACTGGGGGATGGGCAACAGCGCAGAGCAAATGAGGCATCAGTACAAAGAAAGGACATCTTGGCAAGAATCGCTGAGTTGACACTGCAGAATTCAGCTATCAAGGCACATCTGAATAATATCATTTGGTCAGGGGGAGAGCAAGGGGATGGACTTCGGGAGTCAAACAAACAGGAGGCAAGTCACACAAGCAACGTGACTGCTGTGAGTACCAGTTAAGGACTGACTACGGACATATGGGAATTTAAGTCTATTGCTGGACCATCTAAGGGACTTCTTTCCAGAAGTGATCCTGGATGTCTTTGAGGTTGCCACTAGATGGCTTTGCTTTGTCATGACCTCATCACAAAAGAAGTAGAAATTATTTGTCAGTTTATATCTCATATACAATGAAAGAAGACCATATAAAATAAAAAAGAGGAATGAATGAGGAAAATAGGATAAAGATAAAATGTGTAACAAAACTAAAATTAAACTAGGAATGAAGTTTTAATCATAACGTGTAGAATTAATGTGACTTAAAATTTTGCCACACAAGTACATTTTAATTGAAAGCATTTTTACTCTTAAATGGGCTCATAAAAAAGAATTGTATTGTTGGCTCTTAACTCATGAGGAGTTAATTTTTGGGGACACAGAATCCATTTTCCTGTGGAAATGATTTTAAAGGAATTTTAAAGTCAGTCTTTAATAATGTACATATGAATCATCTGGGGATCTTGCTCACATGCTTTTTCTTATTGAGTAGGTCTGAGGTAGGCCCTGTGCATTTCTAGTAAGTTCCCAAATGATGCCAGTCCAAGGATTATACTTTGAGTAGCAAAAGTCTGCATATTATAGCGCAGGAATTTTGTAAGTGAAATAAACTGTGGCTAACCTGGTAACTTGGACCTTCATTTCCTAATTTGTGGGCAGAAAACGTCCTAAGTTCCAACTGGGGAGGGTTTATAACCTATATCCTCATGCAGTCCTGGTGATGGGAGTAATTTCCTTCTACTTCTTTGTGAACCAGAGCGGCTCCTGTCAGTCTTCTGACAGGGATGGGACAGTGTTTGAGAAGTTGAAGGAGCGGGGAAGCATGGGTTAGGAGTTCCAGGGGTCATTGCTTCCATAAAGACTTTGCCAGTGGTGGATCGAGCAATTCCATGAGGAAGATTAGGAGATGGGAGATAGTCAGGTTAGGGGATAAGGCAGCAGCTGGCTCAGGGGCAGTCAGGGTAAGATGGGTATTGAGTCACAGAAACAGTAGTCAGAAGGGACTGGCAGGAGTATTAGGTATGGGCAGTAGCCTTGGTACAGATGTATGTAAGTATGAAATGCCTCAATTTTGGGTCATTGGAGACATTTCTATGTTTGCAGAGTTTTGAAGATTATTTGAAACAGGCAACATTTTAGTTTGAAACAGTTAAAAATTGAGTTTGCCTCCTTTGCAAATTAGTATACAGATCAAGCTAGAGAGGACAATCTATTATTGCCCCTTTTGTTATCAGAATTATGAAATGATCTTTAATTCATATGTTTTGCATATCTCTTTTTAAACTAATGAGCATAAGCTACAAATTACTGATTTTCTAATAGAGATTTTTTTCCCCCAAAGGGACATATTTAGCTAAATGAAATCATTAAGAATGACACATATATTCAAATTAAACTTATGTTATAGTCCTTGGGTGGCTTTTTTTTTTTTTTTACATCTTGTATTCTTTCCAGTCACCCAACTGTCTTGAATCAGATATCTTAGGCCAGAAGTGGCCTCGGGAGGCTGACACATGGTCAGAAGGAGGATAAGGGTCCCAGAAATCTTTGCCAAATAATTCATGGTTCATGAATGAAGATTATAATTACAGAATCACCTCTTTCAAATGCAGCAGATTCTTTTGTATATTGTGATTCAGACCCCAGATCTGGCATTTGTATGTAGGTTACTTAGAAGCCAGATCTCTAGAAATAGCTTTGCTCGTGTGATCTTTTGTGCAGTTCAGCAAATGCTAAGAGATGCAGGAAAGCTTTGCCCCTCAGCCACTCTCCATGGACAGAGGGACTAGAGGACATATGTGGCGTCAACATTAGAAGGATTGGTAACCCTTTGTTGTAGACCTCATTTTTCAGTTAAGCGACTTGTAAATTCTATAGTTCATCCACTATTCAAGTTTGCATATAGCAAGGCCTATGAATACTAACTTGCTGGTTCTTATTGGAAGACTTTATTTTTACAAAAAGTCAAAATTGTTTGGATTATTTTTAATATGAATTTGTGCCCCCCGCCCCAAGCCTTTTCCAGCAGCACGACCTCTAACACCAAGTAGCATGGAGGAACGGATTGCAGAACTGAACCGGCAGAGTATGGAGGCTCGCGGAAAACTCTTGCAGTTAATAGAGCAGCAGAAGCTTGTTGGTCTGAATCTTTCCTCTCCACCGGTACCACCTCTTAGAGCTTGGAATGATTGGTCACAAATTCATGATTTAAAAGGTACACGGTTTAAAAGCTAGGAATTTTTCACTTTCTTGATTTTGCAAGTATATATCGAACTGAAAGAAATCTCAGAGCATATATTTCAGTGCCTTCAATTTTAAGTGGAAAGAAAGCAGACTAAATCACAGAATAAGTGATAGAGATGGAACTAGAAGGCCAGCTCCTGTTAGAAAACTACCCCATGGTGCCTGCAGTACTCTTCGGTGCCTGGGTTCCGAAGCTGCTCTACATGGAAATGGGACCCATTACAGTATATGATTTACTTAGGACATATACTGCGACTAAGTATAGAATACAAGCATCAAAATTATAATGTAGAATTTCATCAGCCACAAATTACAAGTTATTCTGTTAAAATCATTAAAACATTTTAATTTGTAAATTAAACTTTTAAATCTATTTTTACATTTAGAAATGTGAAAAGCTAGAGGGGATTCTAAATTATAGAGCTGTCAACGGAAAAATGAGTTGTCGTAGTCTTCACATTCAAATAGTACTGATGAAACAAGTAGATCCGGAGTTGCTTGTTAGCCAGAACTCGTATTATTAAGATCCTCAAGGGCAGGAGCCGCTCTGGTTCATAAAGAAGTGGAAGGAAATTTCTCCCATCACCGGGACTGCATGAGGATATAGGTTATAAACCCTCCCCAGTTGGAATAAGAGAGGGTTCTAATGGTCAGGAATAGGAAAAGCTCTGCATCAGTGGGTGGTGTGTCAGCCTCAGCTGCATTCCCTCAGGTGTTCAGGCACTCGGGCTTTGGCTGGTCGTAGTAGTTTTCCTTTAAGGTATCTGCCAATAAGAGTTTCTCTCTCAGTTAGAAGTCATTCCCTTTTTGAAACTACCGACCCAGAAAACAGACTTGTTTGGCAGTTACTGGAAAATGGAGGATAATGCATATCCTCAGGGCCCTTCCTCTTTATTTCAGGCTTCCTCAAATGACAACTTGGTCTACTGTTCTTCATAGTCATGAAGTCTAGATGCATCTTCCAATAAAAATGAATAAATTAAATCACTCAATATGTAGGAATACCTACTACATGCTTGCCATGTTCTGGACACAGGATACCACATTGAACAAGACAAGTCCCTGCCCAGCTTGACTACTTTAGTAGTCAAATTGGGGAGCACACCATAATTAAGCAAATAAATATATGAGATAATGTCAGTTAGTGCTAAACACAATGAAGAAAAATAAAGCAGATTACTCTTAAGAATGATTTTGTAATTAAATAAGACATCTGTTTCAGTGGTTCTTTAAGGTAAAAATCTTCGCATTTATGTTATCTCATTTCGACCCCAACACACCTGAATAGACAGAAGTGATACCATACCTGTTTGATAAATATGTAAACTGAGGTATAAATAGGTTATGTGATTTGTCTGAAGTTGTAAAGCAAATTGGTAAATTTGCCCTATATTGTTGCCATTCCTGTGGTTATCTCTCTTAAGATACTCTTTTCTTAAGTAAAATTCTTGGTTTCACAAGAACCACGGTGGCCTGTAATAATAAAATAAAAATAAGTCATTGCCATAAAACCTCTTTTGTTTTCTAAGGTAACAGAAATATGTAAATAGGGTTTCATTACCCTCTAAAGCCCAGAAATCACTGGTTTTAAGCAGTGATTCTTGGGAGCCTCTGTGAAACTGACTGGGATGGACTCAAAGTCTTTCACTAGTAGATACTTAGTAAATATCTGTTGACTGATAACCTACTTCTGAAATATTGAAAATGTACATAATTATTGCCATTGGCCATGTGAGCTCTTCAGCCAACTTTCCCCTCTTATTTAAAGTCTTCAGTAACAGTAATGTAATAGATTCAGAAGAGTAAAAATTTTACTGAATGACTTCAGAAAATTTTTTTCTTTTTTTGGGGAAAATATTAGATAAGCTGCTTTTGACAAAAATCTCAAGATGTTTAGGGTCAGTTCTTAATTTGTGTTTTTACTTCCAGATCTGACATGATACCACTTGTCCGAAGAGTCTGGCTTTCTATGAATTGGCATGCTACTGAATTGATAATAGTAACTAAAGTTTTTGTCTCACAGCTCATTTAAAAAAAAAAAATCATTTGATTGTATCTGTGGGTCATAATGATAAAAATATAGAAAGAACCACCAAATTTATGGTATGAAATTTGCAGTGAGACAGAAATCAAGGTATATATTTTATTTTAATTTTAATGAAAGGTAATGAACTAATATTTATTTTTATATTTTAGAAGGAGGAAAGAGGACACTTGAGGTATCTATTCCAGGAGCAGAAGCCCCAGAAAGCTCAAAATGCAGTACTGTCTCTCCTACCAGTGGAATAAATACAAGAAGGTAGGGTTACAATGTGAATAGTTACTTTAAAAAAAAGAAATCAAGAATATGATATGTGTTTTATTCTCTTGTGAGAAAAAAGTGTGTAATATCTGACTTATGTACAGGTAGACTTACTGACGTAAAGAAAATAGAGTAGTTGGAGAGGAGAATTTACAGGTGGGGAAAGAAGAGGCGCGAGGAGCAAGCCTTCATTAAGTAGGAAGCATGGGTTGGCTCTTGAAAACGAGAATGGGATAACAGCACATATATAGAATGCTTTATGGGTTACAAAATTAGGAGATAATATATGACAGGGTGGGTAAACTGACCTCTAGTGTTTTCCTCCTTTATAATAATGAAACTGAAGCTCATAGAGCTCATTGTGCGATTTGCCTATATGGGTCACATGTTGGTGAATGGTGACACTAGGGATGTACCCTCTTGGCTTTCTGTCTCCACTGCATGCCTGCTATCTGTCACACTGCACTGCTCCAGGTCTTGTACTCTTCCACTACCTGGGCCTTCTTCTTCACTCCTCCACATCCTTGTCCCCGCTTTAATGTTAAAAACTTACTAGTGTGATACTGTAATGGTGGATACATGTCATTTTACATTTGTTGAAACCTATAGAATGTATAACATAATGCATGAACCTTAATGTAAATAATAGATTTAGTTAATAATAATGTATCAGTATTATCTCATCAATTGTAACAACTGTATGCACTGATACAAGGTGTTAATAATAGGGGAAACTGGGGGGCGGGGGGTTGAGGAGTATATTGGACCCTTGGTACTTTACACTCAACCTTTCTGTAAATCTAAAATTACTCTAAAAAAGGAAAGCCTATTAATTTTAAAAAGAAAGACCTAGGTTGGTGAAAATATGTTGTAAATAATTTACCTTATTTGGACCTAAGTTAGCCATACTTTTTCAAGCTCTTGCCAGTATTGAGAATTGCCAGTCTTACATAATTTATAAGGTTAACAATGATAGATTACTCTTTCTCTTTTATTTCTCACAAATAGATCTTCAGGGGCTACTAGTAATTCTTGTTCTCCACTAAATGCCACCTCTGGAAGTGGGCGATTCACACCTGTTAATCCAAGAGCAAAGGTATGTGATAAAACGTAATTGTGAAATGTGTATAGGGGCAGGAGGGCGAGGGTGGAAGGTGGAAGGTGGAGTGATTTCCATTCTTAATTATTATTTCTGTTGTCTTAAAGATGATATAAAAATTTCAGAAGAAAATATATATTAATATACCTTCATTAGAAAAACAAGCCAGTAGCAATTTAATTATCAGAACCATTCAGTGGCATAAGAGAACTGTGATTCTGTGTACTTGAATAGTCTCATTTTTCTGATTACTTTCTAAGTCCTTTTTTCATCTTTTTCAACAGATTGAGAAACAAAATGAAGAAGGCTGGTTTGCTCTTTCTACCCATGTATCTTAAGTGAAGTCAAATTTTTATAGTTTGTTCCCAGTAGTGTATTCTTGAGCTTCCATCCCTGTTTCCCTGCCCCTGCTCTCAATTGTTTGTCCTTCAGATAAAACCTACAAAGGTCTTGTGACTTAGTGCTAATAGAACAAAGAAATAAAGCAATTATTTTATTTTTGACATTTCAAATAGATTTCCAACAACTAACCAACCTGTAACCTCCTGTAAATAAAATTTTGATTATAGGGAAATTAAAGTTTTATATTCTAATAATTTCTTAAGTATTTTAAAGTTTTTTTTTTGAGTAACATATTATTACCTTTACCATCTTTATTCAGTTTTTTTGTCTAGTGTATCTTAAATGTTGATCTATTTTATTTTTATTTTCTGAAGAACTAAGTTGCTTTGCATATAACTTACAACAAAATACCTTTGTGTGATTAAAGTTGGGCTTTCAGAGAAATTTAACACCCACTTTGGTTTTTTCTTTTGGGGACATCATTGTAGTTCATTACTTTTTCTGTCAAGTGGAATGTACAGCTTTAAAACGTAGGCATGGGAGTATTTGCTTATATTTGCTTTAGCAAGTAAGAGTGGTTGTATATATTGTAAAATTCTTATATAGTCTTATTTAAATGTGAAAGTGTCATCAATAATGGTAATGTACATAAAATAAATAATGATCATAGAGCTCAAATGTCTAAATGCAGTAACACTGATTGATTGGTATATTCAGTGTTGGAAACAATTGACTACAAACAGTTGCTATCAATTTTCCCAGCCCTGAATCTAATAAGCACACTGAGTAGGATTTTCTTCAAGGCACCTGTTTGGCTCTCAGACATTGGTTTCTATTTTAAACTTGTTTTTAAAAATTATCTCTGCCCCTTGGCTGTATAATAGGAATTCTCAGCCGAAGTGAGGTAGTTATGGGTTGGGGGAAGCATTGAAACTTCGTACTTGGGGAACCTTCTCAGACAACACCTTCCCTTCTGCAGTTGTAAGTCACTGTTCTAGGAAGTGTCCTATGCAGCTTTCATTTGGATTTCTTCATTGTTGTGGTGGCCAAAAAGAATATTATTTTCTTTTGGTATCACCGATGTACCTGAAGTCATCTGTATTCATTGCATTATTGCAGATTCTTCCATCCGTATTGCACTTTTTAAAGCTTGGTATTTAATAAATATTATCCCTGTCTGGGATGTAAACCATTTTAGTGTAATTCGTTATATTACTGAAATATCAAATTATCTGTTTGGTTTGTGAATGTGTTCTTTTGACATGCATTTTCCTTATTATTTTCCAACTGTTTGCTCCCCACCTCCCTCTTTATATTCCTGTAAACATCAAAAGCCATGATTCTCAACTTTGGGATCATTTAAAAAATGCTAAGTTGACTACCTGAGCGGCTTGTTGAGGCCTTGGTGTGCTGCTTTTAAAAGCTCAGAGTAATTTGATGTGAAGCGAGAGTTGAGAACCATTGCCTAAAACTTTTACCACTAGCTCACTGGCAAACTGTAGGACTGACATTTAAATGTCCATCTTGTTAATGTTTGTGTTTGCTATAAAAGTGCACTCCAAGAATACTTGATGTGGAGAAAAGAGCCTTTCTTAGGCCCTTCTAAAGCAGTGCTTCTCAGCTTTGGCTGCCATTAGAGTCACTGGGGACCTTATAAAGTTCCTAATGCCCTAGTCTTTTTTTTTAATCCTCAGCCAAGGATATCATTCCATTGATTTTTTTAAAAGATAGAGTGGGAGGGATGGAGTGAGAGAGGGAGGGAGAGAGGAAGAGAGAAACATTAGTTGCCCCTGGGGCAGGGATCGAACCTGCAACCAAGGTACATACTCTTGACCAGTAATTGAACCCTCGACTTTGGTCCAAGGAATGATGCTCTAACTGCTGAGCCAAACTGGCCAGGTCCTAATGCCCATGTCTTGATAGATATCAGTTAAGTTAGAATCTTTGGGGGCAGGACACAACCATCAGTATTTTTTAAAACCCTCTAAGATGATTCCACTGTGCAGCCAAGTTTGGGAAACATTACAAAGATATTTATTGTCCCCTAATATGATTGGTGCATGCTTGGCTTAAATTAACAGTTAAATTACATAAAAGCCTTCTTTGTCAGCCTTCAAAACCAACTGCATCAGTGGGTCTCAAAGTTTGAACTCCACTCAGCATCATCAGCAGTACCCAGGGTACTTGTAGATATGAAAATCCCTGGGCCCTCTATTAGATCTGTTGATCAGAAACACTGGTGTCTGTTTTAATAAGTCTTTCTGTGATTCTGGTGCATGCTCACATTTGGGAAATAACTAATACAGTGGCTAAGGGTGCAAGTGCTACAATCAGAAATGCCATCTCTGCCACTTGGGCTGTCTCCCTTGGGTAAATTAATCCCATCTTTCCCATTTGAAGTCAGAGATAATATATTTTTTCCTATAAAGTTGCAAAGATTAAGTGAGGTAAATACATGAAATATGCTAAGAACAGCACTCGACTCACAAACATTCAGAAATGATAACTGCCAGTTTTTGGTATACAAATAAATATACTATTTTCTCTATTTCCAGAGTTTTAAGACATTCTGTAGTGAATTTATTCTTTTTCTCTGATTAACAAGTGAATCCAGTGCTTTTTTTTTTTTTTTTTTTTATCCTCACCCGAGGACATTTTTCCATTTTTTGTTCAGATAGAGCAGGAGGGAGAGAGAGGAAGAGAGAGAGAGAGAAACATCGATGTGAAGGGACACATCGAGTGGCTGCCACCCTCACGACCAACCAGGGCCGGGGACAAACCGCAACCGAGGTACGTGCCCTTAGCGGGAACCGAACCCGGGTCTCTCTGGACCGCAGGCCAACGCTCCAAACGCTGAGCCAAACCGGCCAGGGCGAATCCAGTGCTTTTAATATAAAGGTATTACAACTGAAAAATGTGTTTGGAGGTTGAAAGAAGACATTGAGCATATTATTTGAAAAAGAAACTATGTCTCTGACTTTTCAGATACCCTGGTTATACTATTGAATAATAGCAAGCCACTATGGAAAACAATGTGGAGTTTCCTCAAAAAATTAAAAATTGAACTGTTGTTAGACCCAGTGATTTCACTTCTGGGAATATATCTTAAGAATCCCGAAACACCAATCAGAAAGAATATATGCACCCCTATGTTCATAGCAGTACTATAATAGCTAAGATCTGGAAACAGCCCAAGTGTCCATCAGTAGATGAATGTATATAAAAGCTGTGGTACATTTATACACAATAGAATATTATGCAGCTGTAAAAAAGGATATCTTACCTTTTTTTTTTTTTAATAGTCAAAAGGTACAAACTTTGACTTACCAAATAAGTCATGTGGATTTAATCTACAGCATGACAACTGTAGTTAATAATACTGTACTGTGTACTTGAAAGTTGCTAGGAGAGTAGACCTTAAAAAATCCTTATTACAAGAAAATATTCTATAACTACAATGGCATATGTTAATTAGACTTATGATGATCATTTCACAATATATGCAAATATCAAATCATTATGGTGTACACCTAAAACTAATATATCAATTGTACCACAATTAAAAATAAATAAATAAATTTACTTCAGTAGGGAAAAAAGTTGTACTCTGATTACAAATAAAATCCATGTAGCTCAATTGTAAACAGTATATACTCACAATAATCAAGACCCTAGAACTCAAAAATTGATTTAAAGATATTTGTACCATATTATGAGGCTGGAACTAAAAAATGTACTTGTTTTTATGTGTATGAACAAATGCTCATGGAGAGAAAGGTAGATAAAAAACTGAAAATCTTTTGCCTAGTAATAAGACAAAGTCTAGGCTACAAAAATAAACGGCAGAACAAACATATTACTTATGCTCATTTTAAAAATGGAAGTAAATAAAAGAAATAACTAAAGATTTGAAGGTGATCATCTCCGAGGTATATCTTACCTTTTGAGACAGCATGGCGGGACCTGGAGAGTATTATGTAAGCAAAATAAGCCAGAAAGAAAAAGAAAAGTGTTATGATCTCACTTATATGTGGAATCTAATAAACAAAATAGATCCAGAGACATGAAAGCATGGCACAGACTGATAAATCTCAAAGGGAAGGGGGAAAAAGAGGTGGGCAGAGATTAACCAAAAAATTTATATGCATATATGCATAATCCATGGACATAGATAATAGTGTGGTTAAGGCCTGGAGTGGAGCAGGAACTGGTTGGAGGGGGGCATTGGGGGACATCTGTAATACTCTCAAGATAAATAAATAAATAAATAAATAAATAAAAATAATAGCAACGATAGTTTTTTTTAAAACCCTAGTGAATACTTTCTAAAGAGAACATTTGAATATTACCAACAAATGCATGGTATAAAGTTTTTGAAAAGTTGTTATGTAACATTATGGAAACCAATAAAATGTAATATAGCCATTTTTTACTATGAACTATTGAGAAATAATTTATGTACAGTAAAATACATCCATTTAAAAAGAAGAATTCATTGGCTTTTGGCAGTTGTAAATATACGTGAAACTACCACCACAATTAAGGCACATTTCTATCATCTCCAAAAGATTTCTCCTCTCTGCAGTATATCCCTCTCTTTTTTCCAGCCCTAGGCAACCACTAATTTGCTTTTTTGTCATCATAGCTTTATTTGCATTTTATATGAATGGAATCATATACTGTGTACTATTTTGTGTTTTCTTTCCCCCAAATTGAGATTCACCCAAATTGGGTGTAGCAGTTTCTTCCTTTTTACTTCAGAGTAGCATTCCATTGTATATTTATTTACCCATTCACCTGTCAATGGCCATTTCCAGTTTTTGGCTATTATAATAAATATGGCTGCTGTTCAGGTACAGGCTTTGTATGGACATAAGTTATTGTTTCTCTTGGGCGAACCTTGAATATGAAATGACATGGCATATGTTTAACTTTTAAAGAAACTGCCAAATGGTTTTCCAAAGTGTTGTGCCATTTTACATTCCCAACAGCAGTGTGTGAGAGTTCCAGTTGCTCCCTATCTTCCACATTTGGTGCCAGCAGTTAAAATCATTTCACCCATTCCAGTGAGTATGGAGTGTGTGATTGTGTGCATCTCCCGAGGACAACTGTTAAGCAATTTTCCATGAGTTTATTGACAACTTATGTTTCTGATGTGAAATATTCAGTTGTTTGCCCAATTAAAACATTAGGTCGTTAGTTTTTTCTTGTTGAATTATGAATCCTTTATGTTTTCTGGATACAGAGTTCTTTCTCACATATTGCAATGTTTAGCCATTTAAAAAAGTGTTTTGTAACCAATAATATTATTTAAATTTTACTTTTTTTAAATTGAGAAATAAATGTTGATTTGTTGTTCCACTTATTTGTACATCCATTGGTTGCTTCTGGTATGTGCCCTGCTGAGGGTGGAACCCAAAGCCTTGGAGTATGTGGACATCACTCTAATAACTGAGCTACCTGGTCAGGGCCAGTAACACTAAGTATTTAAAAATCAGTTAGACCCAGCTGGCCAGGCAGTTCAGTTGGTTAGAGCAATGTCCAGATATGCCAAGGTTTCATTCAGGTTGATTTCCGGTCAGAGCACAGACAAGAAGCAACCAATGAATGCATAAATAAATGGAACAACATAATCGATATTTCTCTCTCCCTCCTCTAAAATCAATAATAATAATGATAATAATGATAATGATAATAATAATAATAATAAGTCAGTTCTAGCTCTGGCTATACCACAGAGCTCTTGAAGAGCAAACTGCTAAACTAAGAAATCTGTCAATCTCGGCCTCTGCTCTGCGCCCAGCCTCCTGCAACCAAGGAGCCCACCACATAAAATCTTATTTACTCTTAAAGGCCTACAGATAACATAGTGCAAAACAAATAACTAAATAAATAAAACCAACAGGCCTCCTGAAGTCTGTTTGCTGATGATAGTGCAGGATCAGGGATCTTTTGGGCCATTTTGTATCATTAGGCAGATGGCTTCGAAAGTAGTCAAAAGTCACACGCTTAGTATGATGATAATAATTATATAAACTGGATATAAAAATTAAACTGGGGTAATAAACTGGTAGAATGTTGGGCTATTATGTTTCACTTTGAACCTGAGTCACCAGCCAGGTAACAACCCGGTCGAAGAAGCCAGTGAGACTGAGGGTCCCAGGGACTCGGCCGGGTTTCCCCGAAAGTCACCGGTGGGCAGCGCATGCGCCTCAGGGCCGCCTGTCTCCGGGCGGAAGGCGGGGTCGCGTCGCCGCGGTAACTGCAGTAAACAGAGACCTTGGGCAGATGCTGTGACCAAGAGCGCCCAGCGGTCGGTGCCTTGGGTAAGTTTGGACCCCGGCAACTGGCCAGTTCCCACAACCTCCTCAAATCTGTTAGCGAGTCAGGGGGCAGGGAACCCCACTTGGACTTCCCTTGGGCTGAACCAGTATCGTAGACCCATCCCCTCGTCCTCCCTAAGGACAGTTCAACAGCCATTTGAAGCGCCTGGCATTCTCAGGCGTGGAGCGGGACACTGTGGATACAAAGTGAACACAGCTCCGCCTGCAAGGAGCTCAGGACAGACAGCAGGAGTACGAGTTAGACCGGGTTGAGAAGAAGCTGGGAGTGTGGGTGAAAAGCGCCGGAGTTCCCAGGTCAAGCAAGTCTCCTCACCCTACACTTGGCTGTGTGACACTTGGCACGTTGAGCCCTCTGCACGTCTGTTTCCTCAGCTCTAAAAATTGTAGCAAGAACCCCATGGTAATGCTAACCTCATGGGGTTCTTGCTACAATTAAATGGGATAATGCAGCTAAAGTGTGTAGCACATGTGGGACACACAGTAGGTGCACAATGAATACTTGTTTCTTACAAGTAAATACAGTAGCATACAAATAGGCAGTGGGTCCAGTCAATTTGAGTTGTTCCAGGTGGCTACAGACTAAAACTTTTGAGAAGGAGAAGGGGCTGAGGAGAAAACAGGGAGGGGGAAAGTGACAAGAGATGAGCTACAGACCATAAGATGAAAGACCTTGTGCCATGCTAAGGAATCTGAATTCTTATTCTGTGACAACAAGGAGCCATGAAAGGTTTTATACAAGAGAGTGGCACATTAAAAGCTGTATTTTAGAAATACAAGAGGCAGTGTAGAGGATGGACGAGATGGGAGAGACAAGGTATGAGGCTGTGGTGGGTAGAACTGAGACATGATGAGGACAGTGGGAATAGATGGGAGGCGATACATTTAGAAGGCTTAATAACTACACACTTAGCGACAGGATTTCAAACCAATTGCATGTGCTGAGTGAGAGGGAAGGATTCAAAGAGTAACTGCTCTGCTTTTATATTTTAAAATGCCCCTCACTCACAGAGTCATTTTGAGAAACACATGAAACAGTATGTGTAGAATCCTTAGAACTATGCTTGACACATGGAAAACATGAAAAAAAAAAGAGCTATTATTCTCTCCATAGTTGTATTTCCCATTGTAAAGGAGACACTGTTTGTTTTCATGCAACAATCTCTGTGAGTCTTAACATGACCAGCTCTGGCACACTGCTGAAGTGGTGTGTGAGCTTGTGACTGAGGACTGACCCTGAACTCTAGCAAATATTATGAGTAATGTCACCTTGGGGAACCTTTTGTCTGACTTGCAGATAACCTTCTTCTAGCAGCACACCCCTCTGCATCACTGTGCACTATGATTTTCTTTTTTCTTGACACTTGACTGGCTACCTGAATGAATTACTTAACAGAATTCACCAAAGGCTGGACTAATGCGCCTGAATCTAATGAAAGTAGATTTAAGATAGTTTTGCAGATAGACTCCCAAACCTAGCTACTTCAGTTGTATCAGATAGGACATGGCTAAGAACACAAATAAGGTTTAGTCATTCTAGTTGGCTACAAATTGATTATGATGAGTCAGTGTATGATGAGCTTTTTCCCCATCCCAAAGGTCATGCAGTATTAGGCTTCCTTAAAGGACATTGTTGGTACAGGTAAAATGATGGTTCATTTCTGCTGGAAAATGTACAGATCCTTCAAAGAAGATAAAAAATTGGCAGTCATAGTCGATGTGTTGAGAATTAACTTCTTGAGCTATCAAGATTCTGAAAAGAGTTGAAATCACATTAGTGAGGAATAATTTAAAGAATTGGGATGCTTTAGTTGGGAAAAGAGAGGGTGTGGGGAGAAAAGTGAACCAGTTACAATTATTTGAATGATTCTAATACACAGAAAAAAACTTGTTCAGTGCGTCCCCAGAAGAATAAGGACCCAATGGATCCCAGATGCAGCAAGGAAGATTTCAGCTTAATATAAAATAAAGGTGCAAAGAACTAGAGCTGAGCATTGACACAATGTGCTCCCCCTCTTACCTAAAATGTTGATGTTGGAGCTGAATGCTCTTCTCTTCCTCTGTTCATTTATTCAGGAATTAACACATTCATCCGTCTGACCATTTTACCTACTGAGTGCCTATGTGCCAGGCACCGTCCTTACAGCTTTACTGTATTAACTCATCGACATCTCAGGCAACCGTATGAAGTAGGCACTGCACTTTACAGGTGAGAATGTTGAAGCACAGAGGGGCGAATCCCTTAGTACCTCACAACTGTTGAGAGGAGAGCCAGGCTTTGAACCCAGCCAGTCTGACTCTAGCCAATACTCTCAGCCTGACCGGATAACAGGCTGCTTTTCCAGTGGTGCTGGGCTCCATGTTGTAGATGTGTGACTTATATTGGATGGGAGGTTGGACTTGATAAATTTCTTTCAACTCTGAAGTTTCCATGGTCATATTCGTTGAGCTTTAGCTGTATTAAAGAGAATGTGAAGTATTTATAGTAAAAACAAGTACCAGTTTTGAGTACCTACTAGGTGCTTTATATAAACTCGTGGCTCTTAACCCTGGTTTTTATTCCTGGCTGCACAAAAGAATTACATAGGGAGCAAGACCCTGAGAATGGTATGTCATAAAAATTTTCCAAGTGATTCTAAAGTGCAGCTAGAATTGAGAACTATAGGTATAAACGCTGATATTAAATACTTACATAACTACCAAACAACCTTATCCCAATTTTACCTATAAAAGGAGGCCAAACTGGGATGTGAACCCCATCTGGGCTCCGAAGCCGCCTCAGTTTACAATACAATTTCCCAACCTATTCTAAAAACAAAACAAAACAAACAAATCTGCCTTATTCCATCTGTATGGAATACAGTTACTGTATACTGCTAATCTCCAGGAGACCAGGAGTCTTCCTACCTGACCTGCTCAACTGCTTTTTGAAAATTCTTAAGACAACATTTATGATCCAGAAAAGCTAAGAAAGGATCTCAGCATTTTAAACTAGTCAGAACACCAGGCAAATTCCCTGGGTTCCAGTATTTCCTTTCACATGTACATAACCTGCCACTAACTCGGTTTGTAATACTAAAGCTGTTGCTTGGTGGTATGAGCCACTGGACGACGAGATTCTTTATGATAGCACAGAATAAAGGGTGGTGCCTTTGATACCAATTTGTTGTGGTTCAATTCCTGTGTTTACAGAGTGCTGCAGTTGCCATAACTGTTTCTTACCTACCTTCTGACTAACTTATGAGCACATTTATTAGGTCTTACCAGCCCTTTATTTAAATATATATTCAGTTAACATTTGATTGTAGTATGTTAAAAAGAAATATATTTAGAAAAGAGAAGACTAAAGGGTGGAAAATGATAACATGAAGAGTTTATTGGTGGGAAGCAGGAAAGAAAATGAGATTTAAATCATTGAAAGGCACTTGACCTACCATCGCTGGCTTTGGGGGCCATGAGCCAGGGCATGCAGGTGGCCAGTGGACGCGTAGACCAACCAACTTCTGGTGTAGCACAGCCAGCAAGAAAACAGGGACTTCAGTCCTCAACCACTCGGACCTGAACTCTGCCAACATTCTAAATGAGCCTGGAAAGAGATTCTCTCCAGCACCTTCAGAAATGAAGGTAACTCTGCTAACACTTTGATTTTGACCTTGTGAGGCTCTAAGCAGAGAACCGGCTGAATCACAACTGCGCCTGGACTTCTGACCTACAAAACTGAGAGATAATAAATGGGTGTTATTTTAAGCTGCTAAAATTGTACTACAGCCATAGAAAACTAATTATGTTTATAGACTAAATTGTTATTGAAACTTGCAGTGAAAATTTTTTCATTTAGTCCTTCACAATCGATCATTAGTTCAGTTTGGTTGGCGAACCCAGTGACTCTCTTGTCTCCACTTATTTGGGGCCTGCATCATGGCAACTTAAAGAGCAGTTTAGTTTCTTGCCAATGCTGTAATGTTGATTTTTTAATGAAGGAACTCTATCTGTAGTCACCACTTCAGTCATGACCATCAGCCAGTCTCAGTTCTGGTCAACCTCAGATGGATCTGAACCAGTGATTTAGAAGAGAACCTTATTCTGAGACTATAGAGAGAACTGGCGATTTCTACTTCTTAGATTGTAAACTATTTAAGGTCAGCAGCTGTGTATTTGTTCATCCTTGTATCCTCTCCATGCCTAGAATACTACCATTTGTATATAAATATGCAGAATAGTTTTGAGAATTGAACTGATTTAAATTATGAAGAACCTTGAAAACAAGGAAGAAAGTGGCATTTAGGTATGTTTGTGGCTATCTGCACAAGTTTATCCACAACATGCAATAATCTGTGACCAAGCTGCAATGACTAACATTGCCTTGCAATGTCCATATTTTAAAAAATTATTTATCATCATTAATTATTTTTAAGCCAGTGACTTATATAAACACAGAAAGCAAGCCTGTGTATTCAAACTTGAAGAAATAGGAAACATACTAGATGATAGAAGTAGGATTTTTCAAAGATTATGGTACCTACAATTTTTCTGTCATTTGATTCTGACATATCCCCTAACCCCAGTGGACACATATTCTACAATCCAGTGAGAGGAAGGAAGGAAAGAAGGAAGGAGAAGAGAACAACAACCAAAAAGAGAAAAGAAAAAGCACCAAACATACACATACACATACACTTATTAAAAGGTAAAACAGCATCTTGGTAACCCAGAAAAATGGCTCCAAGGTATTAAACACAACTGTAATAAAATGAGTATCATCTTAGATATCATTCTTGATAATAGTTTATAGTAAAAACACTTGGGCAATATACCATTGTCCCCCCTCAATCAAGAGACAGCATCTTTATGATATCACTGTAAGAAAACAGATGGAATGAGCCTGAATGTCCAGGTGAAGGGAGGTAGTAGTCATACTGTACCCTCCACTGATCACGTGACACACTAGTCTTGCTTTTGTGACCAGGAAGGTATAATAATGCACCAGTTCAGTTAATTCTCATAGCAGCTTATAAGTAGTTTTTTCTTCATTCCCATTTTATAGTTGAAGAATTGATGTAGAGTTTAATTAGCTAGTTATGTGGCAAAACTGGGATTCAAACCTGAATCTAACGACAAATATGATCCCAATAGAACCACCATTCTATTCTGCTTGCCAGCCATACCATAGAAGAATGTTGAGGAAACGGGTGTTTCGTGTGGACAAGTGAAGGACTCAGAAGGAAGATATAGCAGGTGTTTTCACATGAAGAGCTGCAACAGAGAAAAGGCAGAGACAACTGTTGTGTCACTCCCTCCTTAAAACACTTCATTGGCTTTCCATTAACACAGAAAGAAGTTCTCAATTTTTTAGCAAATTTTATGATCTGCTACCTGCCTCCTCTTTAATGTCCTTCCACTGTCCTACTTTTGCCAATAGACTGCTTTCCTCCCTTCAGAGACACAACCCTCTCTCTGAAGTGCCTTCTGCCTAATATACTCCTTTGCATTCTATGCCTGGCCAACTCCTACTCATCACCTGCATCTCAAACACCTCTTCTTTAATCCCTAGGCATGGTTTAATGTTCTTGCTGTACAGGTTCACAATGCCCGATTCTTTCCTTTTTGTAGCATTCATTATATTTAATTGCTTATTTAATATCTACCTTTCTAAACAACAAAAGTTAGGCATCCCTCTCTCTAATTCAGTACTATAATTTAGTGCCTAACATAGGACTTGACACATGGTAGCTGCCCTCACAAAATATTTTAAAATTGAAATTGATTAGTAACACCAGGGTAATTCAGTGATGGGAAGAGGAAGAGCAGGGGTTGAATTAAAGGAAGACAGCAGAGGGTTCATTTTAATGGTGCACCGTTTAGGGAAAAGATGGAATTGGGTGATGTTTCACTGCGGACCTCTGGAAAACCAGAGGGTGCCACGTTGACAAATTTGCCTGGAGAGGGGAGTATCTGACTATATTTTGCGTTCTGCTGAGGTCTCTGAGGGCGGCTGTACTCTCCTGCTGGTGAAGGCATCTTGGATATTATGCAAAGATACCATTATCATCAACACATTTGGTGTTTGGTGCTTGTGGAATTTGTTAGGGGGAAAATCTATTAATGTTTTATATTTTACAGCTTTATCTCTTTCTCTGCCACAGTTTTGCACTTACAGAGAAAATGAAGGAGCCAGATGACCAGGATACTGATGGGGGGAGGTCAGAGAGATCAAAGAGCAGTGGAAGTCAGTCTCGGGCGTCCTCACAGTATGCATCAAGATGTAAGTACAGTTGATAATGTACATTTGGTTTTTTATTATTAAATATAGCTAAGATAATTTTTAAAGAGTAGATATATAAGTTTATACAGTAGAAATGGTTTACTTGTTTAACTCCCTTACTAAATTCTAAGTTCTCGAAGAGCAGAGTTTTTCTCTTAATCATCTTATCTCCAACTCCTGGCACATAGACAACTCTGTTGATAATGACTTATCTGTGCACTGGGTCCTGTTCCTTACTGTGAGGTCTACAAAGTTGTTAATGAACTTTTCTAATGCAGTGTGGTGGGAAGAGAACTGGACTTTGGCTTTGAGTCCTGGGTCTACCACTTAGAGATCCTTGATCTTGAGTAAATTTTATTATTTATTTATTTATTTATTTATTTATTTATTTATTTATTTATTTATTATCTTTATTGTTGAATGTATTACAGATGCTCCTCATTTTTCCCCCATTGACCCCCCTCCTCCCCACCCCTCCCTCCTGCCTTTTCCCACACTGTTGTCTGTGTCCATTGGTTATGCATATAAGTTCTTTGGTTTATTTCTTCCTACCCCCCAACCCTCTTCTCTTTGAGGTTTCAGTCTAGCAACCAATTTGTTCTTCTTAATCCCTTCACCTTTTTCACCCATTCCCCCAAACTCCGTCCCATCTGGCAAACAACAAAATGTTCTCTGTATCTATGAGAATGTTTCTGTTCTGCCTGTTCATTTTGTTTATAGATTCCATTGCCGATAGATATGTATTCATTGCCATTTTGTTTGTTCATTTATTTTATCTGTTTCTTCAAAATGACCCTTCAACATTTTATATAATAATGGTTTGGTGGTGATGAACTCCTTTAACTTTTTCTTGTCTGGGCAACTCTTTATATGGCCATCGATTCTAAATGACAGCTTTGCAGGATAGAGTAATCTTGGTTGTAGGTTCTTGCTTTTCATCACTCTAAATATTTCTTGCCACTCCCTTCTGGCCTGCAAAGTTTCTTTTGAGAAATCAGCTGACAGTCTTATGGGAACTCCCTTGTAGGTAACTAACTGCCTTTCTCTTGCTGCTTTTAAGATTCTCTCTTTGTCTTGAACCTTTTGCATTTTGATGATGATGATGTGTCTTGGTGTGGGCGTCTTGGGATTCATCTTGTTTGGGACTCTCTGTGCTTCCTAGACTTGTATGTCTGTTTCCTTCACCAAGTAAGGGAAGTTTCCTGCCATTATTGTTTCAAATTGGTTTTCAATTTCTTGTTCTCTCTCTTCTCCTTCTGGAACCCCCAGGATGCAAATGTTGGTATGCTTGAAGTTGTCCCCAAGGCTCCTTACACTATCCTCATTTTTTTGGATTCTGTTTTCTTTTTGCTGTTCTGATTGGGTGTTTTTTGCTTTCTTGTATTCCAAATCAATGGTTTGCTTCTTGGCTTTACCTATGCTACTCTTGAATCTGTGTAAATTATTCTTTATTTCAGTTAATGCTTCCTTCATTTCTGACTGTGCCTCCTTCATTTCTGACTGGTCTTTTTTAATGCTCTTGAGGCCCTCACTAAGTTCATTGAGCATCCTTATAAGCAGTATTTTGAACTCAGCATCTGTTAGGTTGCTTATCTCCATTTTGCTTAGTTCTTTTCTTGGAGTTTTGTTCTTTTCTTTCATTTGGGACCTGTTTTTTGTTCTCATTCTGGCTGCCTCTCTGTGTTTGTTTCTGTGCATTACTTAACGAGAAGTATGGGGCTATTTGAGACCAGATGCTACTTGTTTGAAAGAATTTAGGAAAACCTGAAGCCAGATCCAAGACAGGCCAATCCTATGGTTAAGCAATTGGCAACAGCTTGGGTGGGCCTGAAAGTTGGGTGGGGCAGGGCCTCAGGGAATCACCAGGGTGGGGTAACCAGTGTGAGCCAGTTTGCTGGAGTCCCAGATATGGCGGCTGTCTGCCGCCCCAGGGCAGGGCTCACCAAAGGAACAAAGGCCTCCTACAGCACGTCTGTCCTGGAGATAACCCCCTCTACAGCCCTTGCTCCAATGCCAAACAGCTCAGTTCTTCCCTGTATGTCTCCAGCGTCCCTTGGGCTGCAACCCCTCTAAGCTTAGAGGAAGTGAGTCTGATAAGTTTGTGCACCAGCCCTTTAAGAGAAGCTGCCTGGGGCTCCAGTCACCTCAGCCTCCCTGAGCCTCAGTTCCCGCTGGTTTTTCCAGCCAGAAGTTATGGGGACTTCTCTTCCTGGCACTGGAAGTCTGTGCAGGGTGCCTGGTGTGGGATGGGGACCCCCTAGTCCCCAGGGAGGACCTTCGCAGCCGAGGTGTCCTCCTGATTTTTATCCACTACATGTGGGTGTGGGAGCAGCCCGTCCGCCTCCGCTCCTCCTACCAGTCTCGATGTGGCTGCTGCTTTAATTCCGTAGTTGTAGGACTTCCCTTCAGCTTAATTTCAGGTGGTTTAGAATGATGGTTATTCTGTAGTTTGGTTGTAACTTTGATGTGGTTGTGGGAGGACGCAATACCGCGTTTCGATCTTGGGTAAATTTTAGAATCTCAATTTTCTCACTCATTAAAATGATAATTGTGAGCTATTTCAGGGTTAAATTGGGTAACATGTGTGGAGGGATATTATAGGCTGCAAATAGAAGGGAAAGAGAGGAATTTTGTAATAGGATTTTTAAAAGATGGCTGGCTCTTTCTGACTGGGCACTATGATGTTAGGTATCTCAGACTCTTGACTTTTTTAGTTGTAATCATAAATATAGTTTCAGAAATCAATTTAGATTATTCACCAACAGGGAATCTGTTCCTGGGGAAATCAACTCATTTTCAAAATTTGTTCCTGAGGAAATCAACTTATTTGCAAAATTTTCATTGAATTCTTTCAATCTCAGACATGTCTCATAAATTCATGATTTCTTCATACCATCTTTTTTTTTTTAATCCTCACCCAAGGATACTTTTTATTTATCTTCAGATAGAGTAGGAGGGAGGGAGAAAGGAAGGGGGAGGGGAGAGAGAGAAACATCAATGTGAGGGAGATACATTGATTGGTTGTCTTCCACATGACCCTGACCAGGCACTGAATTGCAACTAGGTACATGCCCTTGACCAGTATCAAACCCAAGACTCTTTAGTCTATGGACCGACATGCTAACCATTGAGAAAAACTGGCCAGGGCCCATTTTTTATTTTAGATGTTTGTCTCCTCTTGCTTGGACTCTTATAATAAACATTTCCACTCAAGAGAAAAAGGTGGCGGTGGGCAGGACCAGAGTGAGTGTGAGTGTGTAAAAGTGTGCATGAATGTGTGTGTGTGAGAGAGAGAGAGAGAGGACATGAGTGTGGATGAGCAACCATGCAGCAGTGCAGAATCGTAGAGCTGAGGGTTCTGGTGCTGCATAGAGCTCGCTACTGCTGTGTGTGGCTTGTCAGGGTGCTTCTCCCTGCACAAGTCTGGAAGGCCCCACCATTTTGGAAGATCTGCTGATCTTCTGTGGGAAGAGGCAGCAGGGAGTGGCTGGAGCCCAGTGACCTGACCTGAGGCCACCAGTGCACCTTGCACCATTGGACCAGTGGATCCTGTTGTATCAACATGGACCAGCGCACAGTAGTGGTGCTGTCAAGGTACCTGCTCCTGGAATTGACAGTGGGCTAGGAGCCGAGCACCATCCCCCACAGCAGTAGCACCAGCTTGGGAGCTGAGCACTACCCCCAGCAGCAGTAGTGCCAGCTAAGGAGCTCAGCACCTTCTCTGATAGCAGCAGTGACTGGTTCGGGAATGGAGCTCCACCCCTAACAGCAGCGGAGGTTCAGGAGCCGAGACACACCCCCAAAAGCATCAGCAGAGGTTGATCAGGAGCAGTGCCCAGCCCAAGCAGCAGCAAGGCTCAGGCAACCGAGACTCTCCCCTGACAACTGCAGCAGTGGATTGGGAGTGGAGCTCCTTGACCACCAGCAGCAAAGTACCTGGAACTGAGCATTCTCAGCCCCCCAAAGCAGCCAAGGATTGGGAGCTGAGAGCATCCCCTGGCAGCAGCAGCAGCAGCAGTAGCAGCACAAACTGGGAGCTGGCACCCATGTCCAGCAGCATCAGCAGCAACTGTTCAGGAGCTGAGCCCCACCAGGCAGCAGTGGTACCTGAGTACCCACGCACCCAGCAGTGCACCACCTGGACCCACACACCCCAGTAGCACCTACAATAACAGACCAATACCAGCCGCCAGTTGTCAATCCTCCAGGACCCACAGCAGAAGAGGCACCATGAACCAGACTAGTCTGGGAGGCATAGTAGTCTTATCTGATACACACCGATCTGTCTACCATCTCAACACACCTCACCTGGCCTGAAACTACCAGACTGCTAAAATGTTGAGACAAAGAAACAACCCTCCAATGAAAGAAAAAAAGGAATCACCAGAAAAGGAACTACATGCAATGGAAGCAAGAAAATTGTCAGATAAAGAATTCAAAGAAATAGTTTTAAGGGTGCTCAATGTGAATTATAAAGAGCTCAGTGGGAACTACACCAGCAAAAAAGAGGTAGAAACTATGAATAAAAATCAAGTGGAAATAAAGAATGATATAGCTGATATAAAAAATACCTTGGAAGGATTCAATAGTAGATTAGAAGAAGCTAAGGACAGAATCATCAAGTTAGAAGACAAGGTAGAAAAATAACACTCAAAAAGAGCAGCAAATGGGGGGAAAAAAAAAAAAAGCAGGAGAGTTTAAGGGATCTTTGGGATAAAACAAAATGTAACAACATTCACATCATAGGGGTACCAGAAGGAGAAGACTTGGAGAAAGAAACAGAAAACCTGTTTGAAGAAATAATGACAGAAAACTTTCCTAATTTGGTGAAGAAAAAAGTCACACAAGTCCAGGAAACACAGAGTACCAAGCAAGATGAACCACAAAAGACCCACAACTAGACATGTCATAATTAAATTGGCAAACGTTAAAGACAAAGAAAGAATCTTAAAGGAAGCAAGAGAGAGACAGAAAGTTACCTACAAGGGAGCTCCCATTAG